AAAAATTATTAAGGAAACTTATCCACTTGCAAATTATGTTCATTGCTATGCACACCAGTTAAATCTAATTATGACAAGCGCATGCTCTGTCAATAAGCAGGCTAGAATATTTTTCCATAATTTATCTGGATTGTGCTCTTTTTTTTCGACGTCTCCTCAAAGAACAAAAATTTTGGATGAAATAGTTAATTGCAGATTGCCAAGATCTTCCCAAACACGTTGGAATTTTCAGTCATGAGGTGTTCATACAGTTTATGAAAATAGGAAAGACCTGATTGAAGTTATGGACAATATAGAAAGTACTTCACGCGATTCTTCGTCGATTAATCAAGCCAGTGGGTACAAATTAAAGCTGCAAGATACAAATTTTGTATTTTGGCTAAGTATATTCCATAAAATAATGCCACATGTTGAAATTGTCTTTAACCAATTACAAAAAGTATGCACCGATTCTGTTAAGGTCAAAAATGATTTAGAGAATTTTGAAGCAGCAATTCAAACTATACGAGAACAAATGGATAGCATTATTGACGAGATTGAACGAGTGCAGAGAGAAACTGATGAACCGGCAAGAAAAAAAAGGCAAGTTGAAGAAGGCAGCAAAAAACGGGAAGCGTTAGAAATATGCGATGCAGTATTATCGCAAATAAGAACAAGATTTAACTTTTCTGGACATTTAGTTGCTTCTAATTTATTTGTGTCTGAAAAGTTTTCTGTTTATAAACATCAGTTTCCTGAAGCACATTTAAATGACACATGCACACAATTTTCATTTTTAGACAAAAACAGGCTTAAAACTGAGTTACAAGTATTATATCAGAGAGAAGAATTGAGAACTACTTCTGGAGCTGTTCCACTATCCATTTTATTGAACGAGGAAGGATTAAATTGTACGTTTCAAGAAACTCTTAAGCTCTTAAGTATTTTAATCACTATACCGATGTCAACATCTGAAGCAGAACGCTCTTTTTCAATGCTGAAACGGATTAAAACTTTCCTCAGAAACACAATGAAGGAAGAAAGGCTTAGTGCTTTAGGAATGCTGTCTGCAGAAAAACATTTTGTTAGTGGCATTGAAAATTTTAATAATAAGGTAATCGAAAACTTTGCTACCAAAAAAGAAAGAAGAATGGACTTCATGTATAGAAAACTTTGAAGTTATAGGTACTTCTCCACACTTGTTTTATAATTTGGTGCGCGTGTGTAAATAGTTTTATTTTTGATTTTTTTTTGGACATATAGATTTATTGAACCTCAAGAACTTTGACCACTAACTATCAGGGGTAAGTTATAAGTTATTCTTTACAATTTTGAATCGATTCAAAATTATGGCTTCCATTCTGGCACTACCTCACTGAATTGGCACGAGCCGCCACTGCTTACATGCACTTAGTGCTTTCATTGCAGCCTGGCTGTCGGATAAGATTGTTATTCTTCTCCTAGGCCCACCCTCCTCCAGAATGTGAGATACACAAGCCAGAATCGCAAAGATTTCCGCCTGGAAAATGGTGGTGTACTCACCGAGAGGCAGAGATAGCCTAGTTCTAGGTCCAGAGACCCCAGCACCTGAGCCCTCTTCGGTGACCGAGCCGTCCGTGTACCAGACCTGCCCGCTCACTTCGGAGAGTCCTCGGCTACCGGCGTCCCACTCCTCCCTCGTTGGGTACTCCACAATGAACTTGCGGTTGAAGCGATATTTAGGGGTAATACGATCACCCCTGCTTAGAAGGACGGGGTCCTCCCTTTCTAATTCGACTAATATGGCAGTATGCCCCTTGACCGGATTCAAGAAAGCCCAGCTGCCTTGACTCCACAGTCGATGAGCGACTACTCTCGCTTCACCGCGGATCACCAGATCCAACGGTGGGAGATCCAACAGAGCTTCCATTGCACTCAATGGCGTTGTTCGCACTGCGCTTGTAATGCTAATACAGGCCAAACGCTGAATTTTATTGAGTTTGGCCTTAGTTGACTCAGTTCTAATGCAAGGCCACCAGACCAGGGAGCCGTACAAGAGAGATGGACGTACTATCGTCGTGTAGAGCCAGTATACCACTTTGGGTTTAAGCCCCCACCTTACACCGACAACACGTCTACAAGCCCACATCGAATTGCGAGCCTTGCTAACCTTGTGTTCCACATGCTCTCTCCAGTTCAGTTTGCAGTCCAGGATAATTCCCAGATATTTCACTGACTGGGACAAAACTAATCTAGTCCCAAAGAAGGTAGGCATGACCAGTCCGTCAAGCCTTCTTCTCCTAGTGAATAGGATCAGCTCGGTCTTTTCAGCATTAACAGAAAGATCGACTTCCCTACACCACGATTCCACGGAGCGCAGAGCGCCCTGCATAATTTCCGAGACTGTTCTACAAAAACGCCCCCTAACCACTATGCTTACGTCATCAGCATAGGCTTGCACGTAGACACCCATACTGTTGAGCCTAACGAGCAGTTCGTTCACCACGATACACCACAGTAGGGGTGACAGAACTCCACCCTGAGGGCAGCCTCTAGCTACGTTCACGCTGCAGCTTACGTTATTCAGCATAGCTGTTGTTACCCGACCCTCCAGAGTAGAGAGGACCCAATCTATTAGGATTGATCCAACCCCGTGTCTAACCAAGGCCTGTCTGATAGAGTCGGTTGTGGTGCAATTAAATGCACCTTCAATATCTAAGAAGGTCACGAGTGCCACTTCTCGCTGATCTAGGGTCTTCTCCAGCCTCCCGACCAGATTGTGTAAGGCCAGATCAGTCGATTTTCCAGCTTGGTATGCAAACTGATTTGCATGAATGACACACCTTTCCAGTGGGCCATCCCTTAGGTATCTATCAACTATCCTTTCCAGGGTCTTAAGCACAAAAGATGAAAGAGTAATCGGTCGAAAATCCTTCGGGCCAGTATATCTATCTCTGCCCGGTTTAGGAATGAATACCACTTTAGCCTGCCGCCAACTTCTAGGTGTGAAGCCCGTGGCCACACATGCTCGAAACACATTCAACAGGTAAGGAACAACCGAAATCCGTCCCTGCTGTAACATGGCCGGAAATACGCCGTCCAGACCTGGACTTTTGTATGGGGCAAACGAATCTACTGCCCATACCGTCCTTTCGAAGGTGACAATCTCCCTTGCCGTGCGCCAGTCCTCCCTTGAGGGCCTGCGCAACTGCATGCACTCTGTGATTGATCGCGCTACTGTGGAACCGGGAAAGTGCGTATCCATCAGAAGCCTCAGAGTATCTTCCTCGGAAGTAGTGTTCCCCCCCGAGGGATCATGCAGAGATCCCAATCTTGCTTTAATGTCAGATGTATGGGTTAATATAAGGGTTATTTATGTCGACTGGCTTAGCTATACTTTTCAAGACTGACAGGCTGTCTGATATTATAATCCCTTTGATAATTACCTTGGAATCTAAGTATTCCAAGGCTTTGAGAATAGCAATGGCTTCAGCTGTGAATATAGATTTCAGACTGTTCAATTTGAGTTTTGATGAATGTCCACTGGGTTGTGCAATAAAGGCACAACCTGTTCCTTTGCTGTCCTTAGAGGCGTCAGTATAGATTTTAACGTATTCTGGATAAGGATTCTACAGTTCTCTAAGACAGTTTTCTTCGGTAGAGGGGATGTAGTTTGGTAAAATTAAGTTGTGTTTCTCGAGGGAAATGAAAAATTCTTGAGAATTCCGGGATGAATGGTATTTAGATAAATTATCTATCTCTATTCTGGAATTCCTAAATGCTTCACAAAGGGGGGGTGATTGTTTTTTCTGCCAATATTTATTGGTGAGGTCATGAGAGTTTAACGTGCTTATTTTTTTTATTATATGGTCTTGCTTTACTTCTGACTTGATAAGTTGTTTTTTTGACAATAATTGTCTCCTTAGCTGAAGAGGTGGTTCAAGGCATTCTACTCTGAGGGGTTCAATTGGAGTTGACCTCATTGCGCCCAAACAAAGTCTCAATGCACTGTTTTGTAGCGTATCCAATTTTTGTAAGGCTTTATGACTAGCAGAACCATACAAAGTGCATCCATAATCGATGATCGATCTGATGTATGAGCGATAGAATGTTAACGCTGTATCAGGATCTGCTCCCCACCACGTACGTCGAATCATCTTCAGGAAATTAATACCTTTTTGACACTTCGTAACTATTTTGTCAATGAAAGGGTACCATGTTAGTTTATGGTCAAGAACAACTCCAAGGTACTCCACTGTTTCTGTTACTGGAAATCGAGAGCCCCTGATTTCTATATCACCTGTTGGAGGAATGTTGTGCCGTGAGAAGAATACTATGGATGATTTGTGTGGTGATAGGCTGAATCCCAATGTGTTCATTTGACTTGTTATCGAAGTAATAGCGCTTAATAGAGATTCTTTGCATGATTGGAATCCTTTTTTATCTAGGTAAACGACAAAGTCATCAGCATACTGTACGAGATTGTATGTTGGGTTAACTACGTGGATATCTCTAGTATATATGTTAAACAGGACTGGTGATAAAACTGATCCCTGAGGAAGGCCTACTGATACTTCTCTAGGGCCCAGAAGTGAGTTGGTTTTGGATCTGAGAAATATTGTTCTGTTTAGAAAGAGCTTTATGATAGTCCGACAACTATTACTTGGAACCAGAATATCTTCTAACTTGTCTTTTAGCATGAACAGGTCGACGCAGTCATATGCTCCTTTGACGTCTAAAAATGCAGCTCCCAGGTATTCATTCCTTGAGAAGCAGTTTTGGATATCTGTAACTACATTCCCTACAGCATCTAAGGTACCATATCCTTTTTTGAAACCAAATTGTGACTTCGGGAGTAAATTTATTGCGTAGAGAAACCATTCTAGTCTGTACTTTATGATTCTTTCGAGAGTCTTAAGGATGCACGATAATAAGGATATTGGTCTGTATGATTCGTATAAATTTGGATCTTTTCCCAGTTTGAGCACGGCCACAACAATTATTTTTCGCCAGTCTTCAATGTCTCCGTTTTCTAGCCATACCTCATTGTAAAGTTCTAGTAATAGCTGCTTTGCATTCAAAGGTAGGTGCCATAACATTGAGTATGTTATGTTGTCCCAGCCAGGGGACGAATTGTTTGAGTTCTTTAGCGCATATTCAAGTTCAGTGACAGTAATGGGATGACTGAAGATATTGTCAGTCAGGGTTTCAGAGTTTTGACTACGGTGAATCTCTGGAAAGAATGATGTGGTCGAAGCAGGAGCGATTTTGTCTAGGAAATTTGCTTCCCAATCCAAGTTATTGCATTTCCTATGAGTGACTTGCATTCTCTGCATTTTCTTAGCCTGAGACCAAAGCTCGGTGCTTGGGGTGTTTTTATTTAAGTTGCAACAAAATTTTTTCCAATGCGTTTTTGCTTTGCTTTTTAGTAGTCTTTTTGTGTGTGCTATTGCTCTCTTACAAGCAATGAAGTTGGCTTCGCTGGATATCTGCTTGTACTGTGCAAGGGCATTTTTTCGTTTATTAATTTCTTCATCGCATTCTCGATCCCACCAAGGAGCAGGTGTCTTATTTTGTCTTGTGAAGGGTTTATATCGAGGGATTGAGCTACGGGCGGACTCATTAATGCCTTGAATAAAAAACTGATATTTGTCATTTATATCCTGGAAATTCGGACGAGAGTTTGAGAAATAATTGTCTGCAAGTGAATGGAAATGATCCCAATTGGCTTTGTGGGTATTCCATATGTATTTTGGAGTTACTTCATAAGCGGGATGTGATGTAGGGGATTTCATTTCTAGGATAATAGGGTAATGATCTGATCCTAGGGTATCAACATGGGTTTTCCATTCAATAATGTTAGCTAGGTCTGGGGAAGAAAAAGTTAAATCTACAACTGAATTTAGACCATTGTTATGCAATCTAGTAGATGACCCATCATTCATCAATACCAAGTCTATAGAGTTTAATGCTTCCACAAGAGAGCACCCATTATGGTCCTGCTTGTAGGAGCCCCACAAATTATGATGGGCATTGAAATCGCCCCCTACAATTGTATCCTGACCGAAGGGAGATAGCAAATCAATCCATTCATTCGTGCGGATATGTGAACTAGGAGGGACATACATAGATAGAAGAGACAGGCGAAGCGAGTCTGCAACTTGCACCTCTGCACCGCATACTTGCACGTAATTGGGGCGAGGTCTACATGTTATTTCTTTAAATTTCAGAGTGTTTCGGACAAATATCGCAACTCCGGTCTTTCCGTCATGCCTGTCACTCCTGATAATAGAGTATCCTTTGAATATCACATTAAAACCTGGTTTAAACCAGGTTTCAGAAATCAGAGCAATATCTATGTTGTTATTGAACAAAAATTGATCAACGCTGTGTTTGTTTGCTACTGCAGATCTAGCATTCCACTGTATGATTTTCAATTTAGTATTCATCTTGGTCACTAGGCTCTTCATTTGGAGGATAGCTATCTTTATAGATATTCTTCACATAAGTAATATCAATATTAGCCAATTCCTCAAATGATATTACTTTACTTAGCATAAGTTGTAATGTTTTGAATAGGGTCTCCAGAAACCTCTCATCAGGGATTTCTGTTGTGTCTGTTTCTCTAAGGGGTAGGGGGTTACTGGGGCCAAATGAAAAAGGGAACATGGGCGGAATGAATCATTAATAGGGGATACAACTTTTCGTTTTTTGTTTGGCTTTTCTTGCTGAGATAGGGGTCTAGCTATTCGCTGCGTGACTGTACGAGAAGAATTTGTTGATTGCGACCGTGAGGGGTTTGCTGATCGGCTGTGTGAGGGTTCTTTTGGAGGGAGAGGAGGAAATTCTGTATTGGCCATTTGGCCTAAAACTTCAAAACGATTTTTTGAATTTAATATGGAGGAATATGTATTACCGAGTTTTTTTTTTTAGCCTCCAGGAACGTCAGATTTTGTTCGGCCATGATTTTCTTAATTTTTTCCTGTTCCATATAAGATGGACAATTTTTGGATGTTGACTTGTGATCGCTGTTCTTGCAATAAACACAACAGCTATCCTGGGGATCCCTGCAATTGTGCTCCGAATCCTTTATTTTGCCGCAATTAATGCATAGGACCGATGAACTCCTGCATTGTTTTGCAACATGCCCATATCTCAAACACTTGTAACATTGGACCACTCTGTATATAAACGGCTCTACTTCGCAAAGGACACTGTTTAAAGAAATGTAGGAGGGTAAAATGTTGCTTTCAAAGGTCACTATAATAGATTGCTTGGGAACATAGGCGGCCTTCCCATCAATTTCTACCTTACGTTTTAATCTTTTTACCTCAATGATAGTTACAGGAGACAAAAAGTTTTCAAATAAATATTTTTCGTCAAAACTAGTATCAACATTCTTTATCACTGCTTTCCTAAGTAATAAATTACTGGGGATAAATGCTCTTAAATTTTCATTTTTTAGTGACTGGTTAGTAACTAGACGATTCGCGTCCTTCAAACTTCTTACCTGAACCTTGATTCTATTTCTACCTACTTTTTCGATGTTGACAATGTTTGGAATGTTCAGTTTTTTATGAAATATATGGCCTATGGCCATTGGGTGTAGCGTACCAATATTTTCAGTATTTATTTTCTCAACAAATACATAAATAGAATCTGAATATTGCTTAGGTTTTTGCAAATTAAAAACAGTGCACTTATCTGGCGTAGTGTCGGTTGCGATACTTGTATTCAGACTAACTCCTTGACGGCTGTCTACTCCATTGTTGATGCCTCCTCCTATGGAGGAGATGTCCATATCAGTTGATCCCCCATCAGGGGGATCATTATCCGTGGGCATTACACACTAAACTGTATAATAGTTATTATCTTCAGTTGTACAAATGGTTGAGGAAAAAAGGAAGGAATTTTTCCTATGTATTTATATGTATAACAGCACTCTCTGTTGGTAATTCGCCGTGTTGTTTTCCGCGCGCGATCGCGTTCAACGTCAGGACTGAACTGAATAAGGACATTATAGGAGACAACTCTCAGTTCAAGGTGTTAGAGATCGAGTCAATAATGAAAAGGAATGATATTTTTCAAGCCGTTCTGCAAGTTGATGTTGACACATATAACAAGATTATGACGTCATGCAGAGGTAAGTTGTTCCTGGGATACGATGTTTGCGATGTGTATGATGTGGTGAATATTAAGAGATGTTTCAACTGCAGTGACTTGTCGCATCTATCCAACCAGTGTAAATGTCAACGCCACTGCCCGCGCTGTGGCGAAGATCATCTAGTTAAGAATTGTCAATCAAAAATTATGAAGTGCATAAACTGTTTGAGGAGCAACAATGACAAAAACACAAATTTTGCTATTTCACATGCTGCATGGGATTCCAAATGCCCTAGCTATTTACAAAGGGTTGACGAGTTCAAGTCTAGACTGTAGTGTATCTACTAATTCAGTCTCATTTGATAATAATGATCGCTTATTGATTTATTACCAGAATGTACGAGGGTTAAACTCAAAGTGTAGAGAATTTTTTGTTAACGCTATTATGTCTGATTATCCCATTATATGTTGTCTGAGTCGTGGCTACAGCCCGGCGTCTTGAATGCTGAACTCTTTTCAGATTAATATGTAGTTAGCAGAAAAGAACGAAACATAGCGTCACTGGACTGTAGTAGAGGGGGTGTGGCATTAATCGCAATCAAGGGGTGGTTAAAACCCTCTGACCTTAACTTAAGTTTTATCAGTGAAGATATACCAAGCATTGACATTTTGGGAACACGATTTAAAATTAAACACAAATCTGTTTATCTCATTGTAGTATACATACCCCCAAATACGAGAGCAGACTGATATGAGAGATTATTCGAGCATATAGAATCTCTGGACTACCTCTTTGGCAGCGATCTATATATCATCGGTGACTTCAATATTCCAGAGTTTCTCCAGGATGACAGTAGTCAAACTTCTCGAAGGAGTGCAGCGGTTGTATCGTTTACGACATTACTTGATCTTAAAGAGTATAACTCTGTATTGAATATTAATGGGAGGGTGCTCGATCTGGTGTTTTCTAAGAGATGCTGTAGGTTGAAAAGGCATACGAAGATTTACTTCCAGAGGATGTTTATCACCCTCCTTTATGTATCACCCTAGAAAACAGTATTCGGAATCTCAAACAGAACACAGTAAAACCAATAGAATATTTTAATTTCCGAAAGGCTAATTTTCTTCTGCTGTACGAGCAAATTGGTGTGGTAAATTGGTCTTTTCTAGATGATATACAAGACTCTGATATTGCATGTAGTTTATTTTACAGTACACTAAATTGCATATTCGAAATGTGTGTCCCAAAGACTAAATTAAGCCGCAGGAAATACCCACCTTGGTTTAATGGTGAAATAACTAGGAACATAAAAAACAAGTATAAGCTGCACAAACTCTATAAAAGATATGGACAAGCTGAAACGTCTGACGAGTGTAAAAATCTGAGAGCAAAAATCAAAGGAGATACAGTTTCTGCATATAAAAAATACTTAGCAGGCATTCAAAATGATATCGCTAATTCTCCTAATAGTTTCTGGTCGCATATACGCAACAAAAAAGGTCACAACCATCAAGTTAATGAAATGAACTACAATGGCACTAACTACAGCACACCTGATGAGATAGCAAATGCGTCTGCCAACCTTTTTCAATCAGTATTTTCAAAAAATCCTCATTTGCCTCCGTCAAGTAATTTACCTTCATCCTATACTAATTTTTCCCTAAATAATTTTAACGAAAATGAAGTATATAAGGCGTTGAAAAGAATGAAAAATAAATTGACCAGTGGTCCAGATTGTATCCCATCTTTTTTGCTGAGAGACTGTGCGTCCTTGCATGCCCATTAACAAAAATATACAATATTATTCTGAAAACTAAAATATATCCCGACGTTTGGCGAGAAGCAAGAATATGTCAAATTTTTAAAAAAGGTGACAGAACTGCTATAGAAAACCATAGACCAATTACTTTGGTATGTAACTTCTCCAAAGCATTGGAGTACTTATTGTACAATTTTATATATGTTAGTGTCAGTAAGAGTATATCTCCTTGTCAGCACGGTTTTATGTATGGGAGGTCCACAACGACATATAGTGACAATTATATAATAGCAGGGACTCCCATGCAATGCTCAACTAGGTACTTGCTTTTAGCCCAGAACAGAAAAATTTATGCAGGGTGTCCCACTATTTTAAATAAGGTATTCCGCCATTTTTGCTGTTTGATATACTGTTTTGTATTGCTCACCTTCCAAAACCACGAATTAAGCAGAATTATTCATTAGCTGTATCATTAATAGATACTGACTTGCGTTTTTTTACCTTTTTTGGTCCTGTTTATTAACAATAACTGAGCGATTCATATCGCAGTACAGTATTTTTTCATTAATCTATGTGAGTACACCCAGTACGAATACCTACTTAAAAATCTTTTCCAGAAAAAGTAATGTACACCGATTTATTGACTTGTCACTTTGGTAGGCAATGGTAGGCAAATTGGACAGAAATATGTACTAAAACTGCACAATGTTTTCAACAAACTATGCAGTGCAAACATATAGGCTTGTATCCTTCTAACGTTTTAGAATTGGCCAGAATCGATCCCTCAGACATATATTATACTGTGGCATGTGAGAATCCATCCATTCAGACGAATATGGAGATGAAGTCAACCATTTATCTACAGAGTTTCTCCAGGAGGACAGAAGGTAGCAAAAGATGTTGATCGAGAGCATTTGTGACGCCGAGAACAATCACGTGAGCTTCACGAACGAGATTGAGAAACTGTTCCATGACACATGCACAAGACCAAAAACTCAAGATATTCAGGAAGTACTGATCCTCAGCCACCACAAAGCAAGAGTAATGAGCTATCAGTAGTTAAGATGACCCTGGAATGGAATCCCCTACGACACAGAAGCATAAGAATATCTTGGCTGACATGGGCCAAAACAGTGATGAATTTGGCGAAGGGAATTCTTGTGGAGAGGTAGAGATGCTGCAAAAGTGCAGAACCAGAACGGCGTCAGTTTGTAGAGGTCCTATAATCGTTAATGGAATGTTGCGGGTATACAATTTACGAATTTCTTCCTGTCGATGGGCGTTTCAGAAAAAGTTTTATCTAATGGCACTTACCAAAAATTAGAAATCCAGGAAGTGTTTATCCTGAAGCACCACACCACTTGACCATGGCCACCTAATTACCGTACATGCACCACGCGCAAGAGAAGAATATGAAACGCGCTAGCCAGGGCTACCGCGACGTTGTCGGACTCCGATCCGCGACTCCGCGAGTGCTGCAGACGTTTTTCTTTATTTCCACGGCCTTATCTATCAATTACTAACACAGTTTCTTGAGATTCGCAGAACATAGCGTTCGACCGCGTAGGGAACCGGAACATATCTTACCGACGCGACGGCCGGTCGGTCAGTTGGGTAAAGGTGTGTTTACACGATGGAATTTTGATGACGCTTGGAAACTAGTGGTAAATAAAAGAGGTGAGGGACGTCTCGAAATCATTCTATGCTTATATCCAAAATGGCTAACGTGTGGAGTTAGGGCACACCGGGACGGCAAGAGAAAGCATTGTGGAAGATTTCACTCTGATGAGGGGAGTCCTTCGTGTATGAATGAGTAAATTAAATTTGAGGCATACTGGCCACCCCGAGGAGCCGGTGCACAGGCCACATGACGGGCTTTTATGCACCACTACATTCCCTAAGCCTCAAGCTCCGCCCTTCTAGCGAAGTTGAGTATGGCCCTGAGCTCAAAATCCTTAACATTATAGGGATCCAAAGTGTTGGCTCTCAGTGTAGTCTACCTATAGTAACTCAGAGCCTCGCAGCGATACAGAACATATGCCGCAGCTGTCACACATGGGATCCTCAGCCATCCGTATCACATGCAGGTGGCACCTAATCGCGTTCTGGCCAGACAACAATTCCACCAACAACCATAGATTGGCTCTATCCAAGGATACGCAAATGCGTGCATCCTTTGCAATAGGCCTAAGATGAGCTCCCATGCTAACGAAGATGTCTAGAGTTGCTTCTCCATTTCAGAGAGTGTTGTCTGAATATCCACTTCTGCTCTTGGGAGAGCGTCTGCCATATCATTACCCAGCCTATCTCGCTGCTAAGCTATCCAGCGCCGCCCTGCATTGTAACACAAGGCTCGGAGTAATCTTGCAGCACGTGGTATGCCGTAACAATATCCAACTATTCCGAGAAGTGGCGCTATCTAGGAATCGAGAAGTACTTGCAAATTTCGCGAAAATCTGTCATAGGACATCTGTCGCAAAGATGAGCTAGTTCGTGGCGGCGGCCGGTTTCCTTCTTTGGCCTAAAAAGCGAGCTGTGGAGTCCATGCCACTGCATATCCCGACTGATAGGTTATTGCTTATCGTGTGCTGGTTGGAGATGTAGCAAAATGAAGATGGATTCTCGTTAGTGGTGGCAGATATATCACGAACTGTGATTTAGTAACTGATACCTCTAAATCACGAACCACGACTGAGACCGTGAAAAAGGGTGACGTGATCACGTCTTCCGGAACTAGGTGATTCATTGGAATGGTGGATGGCAACATCTGATCACAGAATTAACGTTTGAATGTGCATGAGAAGAGCATGAACCTAGCTGCTAAGCTCGACAATCGTATGCCACTATACAGACAGCAAGCGATATGGTGCCTTATATGCTTAGTGGTCGGCTCCATGCGATTTTGTCGAGGTATTTTGCTCAGAATATAAGTATAGCCATAATCTCACCGATATTCGGAAGGCGTGATCACGTCACGGTTTAGAAT